CCTTGGGGGGGGCCGCCGTCGCCGTGGCCTTCGAGCGCGGGTGCGCTCGCGTGAAGGGCGAGAGGGGGGCGGGGGGCTAAGTTTCGGCGGGGCGCCGCCGCCGCGGGCGCCGCCGGAGCTAAGGTATAAGCGGACGGATGGCGCCTGGCTGCCGCAGCGAATTTGGGAGAAAAGGTGGAAGAGACATAGGGAGTAAGAAGGGGGAGGAAAGGGGGGAGGAGGAGGAGGAGGAGGAGGAGGAGGAGGAGGAGGAGCAGGATGAGGAGCCTCCCCCCGACGACGAGACGACTACCGTGCTTTTTATACCCGAAGGCTAGGGGCAAGAAACAGTACCGAGTTCAAAGGCAAACAAGACGACGCGTCAATCATCTTCTTGTACTTTCCATCGGCGGGCTTTAGCAACGCCGCGCCGGTGCCCTCGCGGACAACAAAAAAAATAGGGGAGGGCCCCAGGGGGGGCATCATCTATAGGCAGGGGGATGCGCTTGTCCAAGGCAAGCGCATATTCAATTAAATGAAAGGAGGAGGAGCAGGAGGAGGGGCCAGGAAGAGAGAGGAGCAGGAGCAGGAAGAAAGGAGCAAGTCATATTTGACTTGACATTTCCTGGCGCGTTCCCCAGCAGATTGGATTCCATGTGATCTTAGCCCATCCATGCGATCTTAGCCCCCATCGCGCGTTCAATTCCATTAGATCCCATGCCCCCCAGCAAGTGAATGAGAGCCCCAGGAAGGTTGAATCCTAGGTGCCAGATGCAGGTGGGCTAGGTGCCAGTTAGCGCGGTTAGACTTTAAATGCGCAGGGCACGGCGAAAATAATGAAAAAGAAACATGGAGGAAGGATAACGAATAACATATTTATAGCGGCGATGCCGGAAAAGGCAGCAAGGAATTATCTTTAAGTTGTCGGCTTGACCTTCCTGCTATCCCGCCTGCATGCCAAACTTCAAGGACCAAGGTGCATGGCGCAAGGCGCCACTGCAGTCTTGTATGTATGTATATATATGTATATGTATGTACATATATATACATATATGTATGTATATATAGATGTATAAAGGTGTATATAGATGTGTGTGTGTACGTGTATACATATATAGATATATGTGTATATACGCATGTATATATACGTATATATACTAGAACCATCGCGCGCGCGCTTCGCGCGGGCTTTGGTTCTAGCCGAGATCGCGGCAAAGCCCTGGCAGAAGTATCAAGGCAGGCCTTTTTCTATGTGTGTATGTATATATGTATGTATGTATGTATGTATATATATATATATATATATATATATGTGACCGTCCTTCTCATCCTACTCCTCCTTCTCCTCCTCCTTCTTCCCTTTTTCCTCCTCCTTCGTCCTCTTCCTCCTCCCCTTAATCGCCTGTCTCTCTCCTCCGTTTCCTTAGTTCCCTTCCTTCTCCTCCACCACATCCTCATCCTTCCTCATTTGCTTCTGCTCCTCCTACACGTTCTTCTCCTCCTCCTCCTCTTCCCTCTCCTCCTTTTCCTCCCCCTCCTCCTCTTCCTCCTCCTCAATATCCTCTGTCCTTCCTCCTCCCCCCACTCCCTTTCCCTGGCCCGGACGCCTCCTGCTGGCCCGGGGGCGCCCGAGTGGGCCCCCTCCCCCGTCGCACGGGAGGGCCCCCGGGCTTTGGGGTTCGGGCCCCTGTCACTCCACGCCGCAGCAGCAAACCTGCCGGGCCCTGGCCTCCCTTCGGAGCCGGTCAGCACTCGGGCACCCCGTCCGCCTTCGACGGAACGGGCGCTATGGCGGGGGCCGGGAGGAGGAGGAGGAGGAGGAGGAGGAGGAGGAGGAGGAGGAGCCGGGAGAGAACCGGGAGGCGGAAGCGACGGACGCACGGCCGGGGACCCTGCGCCACCGGCCCCCCGCGTTAGGCGCTCGCGCGACCGCCAGAGGCAAGGAGCGGAAAAGGAGAGGGGAGGGGGAGCAGAGAGGAGGAAGGAGAAGAGGAGAGGAGGCGGAAGATCCTCAATCGCGGCCCCACGACCCATCGGCTTCCGAGACTCTTCGGCCCCACGACCCGCGGAGTGACGAGGAAGGACACACGGCAGAAGCAAGGGAGAGAGAGGGAGAAGTCGAGGGGAAGCAGGAGGAGGCGGAGGAAGAAGAGGGAGAGGAACAGGAATATGAGGAAGAGCAGCCAGAGGAGGAGGATCAGAGGAAGGAGGAGGACGGGGAAGGTCCGCCCAGGAGGGATCAGGCGCTTGAGCAAGGGGATGGGACTTATGTTCCCGGGAGTCTTCCTGGGAACATCATGCGCGATAGGAGGAGGAGGGGTCCGAGAAAGAAGAGGAGGGGAACGAGAAGGAGGATAATATGAGGTGGAGAAAGGGAAACACGCGAAATGACATTCCCGTGAAGCTTCCCGAGAACATATTTCGTGACAGCAGGAGGAAGAGGAGCCCGAGAAGGAGGGGGAGGACAGGAAGGAGGAGGAGGGCGAATTAGAGCAGGAGGAGGAATCTCGAGAAGGAGGAGGAAGAGGAGGAGAAGGAGGAAGAGAAGGAGGAAGAGGAGGGGGGAGGAGCAGGAGGATGAGAAGGACGAGGAGGACAGACACGCAGGACAAGGTGAGCGGCAGGAAGAGGAGGGGGAGCAGGACGAGCAGGACATAAGGAGTAGGCGGAAGGGAAGGAGGGTGAGGAGGAGAAGAAGGGGAGCGGGAGGAAGGGAGGTTCAGGGGGAGCAGGAGGAGGTAGAAGAAGGACAGGGGGAGGTGCAGGAGTAGCATGTTGAGCAGCCACAGCAGGAGGAGGACATGGGAAGAAAGTCGAAGCGGCAGGGTGGCGAAGAACAAAAGAAACACTCAAACGCAAGCAAAACAAAATGTTCCCGGCAGGCGTTCCGAGATCTGGGAACCTGGAACCGTCGCTGGCGCCTCGGAGGCCCTGGGACGCTGGCGCCTCGGAGGCCCTGAAACGCCGAAACCTTATAAAAACACAAAGAAAATGGGCCCCGGAGCCCCCTGGAACCGTCGCTGGCGCCTCGGAGACCCTGGAACGCTGGCGCGTCGGAGGTCCTGGAACGCCGAAACCTTATAAAAAAACGCAAGGAAAGTGAGCCCCGGAGCCCCCATGGGGGGCGCAGGTCCACTCCTGGCGGCCTCGGAAAGTGAGCCCCGGAGCCCCCATGGGGGGCGCAAGTCCACTCCTGGCGGCCTCGCTCCTGTTCCGCCGGCATATGTATATGTATGTGTATAATTATTGTATATATATATATATATATATATATATATATATATATATATATACATCGTCCTCGTCCTATATTTTTTTAAACCTGGGCGGCCCCCCCCCCAAAAAAAAAAACTGGACTTCCGGGATCTGGGGCTTTGGGGCACTCCGGACGGGCCTCGAAGCGGCCCCCCGGGCCTCGCAGGGCGTTCTGCCAAGCCGTCCCAGCACGCCTAGGGCGATCAGGGGGGTCATCGGAGACGTCTCCAAGACCCCCAAGACAGCACAAGAACGCTCCAAGAGTGACCGACGTGACCTCAAGATGGCCCCAGAGACCTCCAGGACGGCCCCGAAAAGGCCGCCAAGAGCACTCCCAGGCCCCAAGAGGCAAAAATCATAGATTTTCTTTTGGTTTTTGGTGAATTTTGGGGTTGTCAATTTTTCGGCTTCCCGACGCTCCAAAACGGCTGTCTTCTGCGCGTCCGAGGCCGCCCGGGAGGCTCCCCAATCGCCCCACAACCATCCGAAAGGGCTTCCAGACAGCCCAAGAAACCCCAAAACGGCACAACACGGGTCCAAGATAGCCCTCAGAGAGCCCCATGGCGGCCCAAAATGGCCCCAAGACACCCTCCGAAGCATTCCAAATCGTGACCCGGTCGATCAGGGAGACCGCGGTTGGAGGCAGGGTGGCCCGAGGGAGCCCCCAGAGGCCCCAAGAATACGCTCAGGAGGCATCCAGAATGCCTTAAGAAAACCTGAAGCAACTTTTGTAAGACCCCCAGAGGCTCTCCCAAAAGGAGCCTCCGCAAAAAAGAGCGGAGGAGGATGGGGAGAATGCGCAGGCGCACATGAGGAAAAATAAGCGTGGAGGAAGGATAACGAATAACAGTATTATAGCGGCGATGCCGGAAAAATGCATCAAGGAGTTGTCGCAAAATTGTCGGTTTGGCCTTCCTGCCATTCCGCCTGCACACCAAACTCCAAGGACCAAGATGCATGGAGCGAAGCGCGACTGCAGTCTTGTGTGTAGATATATAACCATAAGGTTTCGCAACACGGATGTTCAAACAAAGCTTGCGCGCTCTTGTGAATTCTCAGGAAAACCATAAGTGTCTCACTGTCTCAACATTATCACACAATGCTACCAAATGGACTTCGCGAGCAAGCGTGTAGAAATCGTTCGAACGCTCTGGCGCGCGTGTCGTTGCGAGACTCCTTTGCAGCAGAAGTGGGGCAAAGTGCGCGCGCTAGCGCGTCGTCGCGCGCGCATGCTGAAATCCCTCAATAACCGATGGGTTCGTAGCGATTTCAGAACCGTAAAACACATACAAAACACACATGGTTTAGCAATACAAATTTTCATAACAAAATGCGCTCGCGCTCTTGCGAATTGTTTGAAAAAACACAGGTTTTCCCACACGCTAGTGCCAAACGGGCATCTCGCGCCGCATGCCGACATCAGCCGCGCGCCATTGCGCGCGTGCTGGGGGGGGGGGGGGGCACGACCCGTGTCAAATAATACCATGCGGGACAATTTCGCGCGTCGGCCGCGCGCATGTCGAACTCTTTCCAACGTACACTGCACAGCATATGTTGTACAACATAAACTGTTACACGCAGAGCGCACCAGGCATACCACACAACATAGACTACCCCATATAGATTGCGCACCATACATAACTAGAAACGCACTGTGTGGGGTCCACGCTGGCTAACACTTGACGGTCCTGGGGCAGGATCTGGCGTTTTGTCTGAGCCCGATTAGTGCTGAATCCCGGTACGCGAGCCCCGCCCGAGGCGCCCACGTCCTCCATCTCGACGGGTTGGCTGTCCAGGCACCGGGCGGCCCACCTCCAGGGCACTGGGGCCATCGGGGGCGACGGCGTCTTCCGTCCACGCTGCTCGCCGCTGCCGCCGCCGTCCCCAAACATAGATGCTCGCGCCAAGGAGGAATCACGACAAGAAATTTTCGGTCTATGGGGGCCATCGCGAGCCGCTGGGATCATCAAAGATCTGCTCGAGATGAGAAGCTGGCCCTGGGGAAAAGGTCGGGACTTCTGAAAACCCGAGATAGTAAACAAATTGGAACATCGGATGTATGGGTCGCACTGTGTGTCTGCCAACAGTCACCATTCGGCCTTTCACCCAGTGCATCTGTCTGCTCATTTTGCTTCGGCTGTAGTCTGAGCCTTGGGTCCTCAACTCACCTAAGGACATACCGTTGGTTCCTGTTCAATTACGGCCACATCATCACGTTCATCACTTCAAGACTTCAAGGCCTTCCTCTACACGGTCTCTGGCTTTGGCTTGCTGGGTCGCGATTTTGACGCGTGCGCCATTCTCCCATGGAATTATCCCATGGATCTCTCCTTCACGTTCTTCTAATGCTCAAGTCCCACTCGAAGTCCGCCTCATGATGGCGCCCTGTACCTCTTCAAGGCCTTCCACTACAAGCTGGCCCCGGCCTCCAACACCACGGCACACACACACACACACACACACACGGCAAACCCTGCTTCCCGCGCCCAAGTAGATGACGCCGGCAGCGCGGCACCCCCCCAGCAAATTCTGCATCCGAGGCAAAATCTGCCCTGGCCTCCTCGATTGCATCGTCCTCTGCCCTCCTCTCTCCACGCCTCCGAGCCTCCTCCTCGATTCTCCTCCTCGATCACCGTCCAAGACCCTTCTCCGTGCTCCTCCTCGACCCTCCTGGACCCTCTTCGACCACCGCCCTCGACCAGGACGGCGAGGCTGAGCGAAGCCGAGGGACCGCCGGCGGCGGCGCCTCTTGCGCCCGTTGTCGCCCCAGTGCCGCAGCCTCTCCACCCTGCCGCCCGCCCGGAGCTCGAAGCGCTGCCCAGGCCACAGCCCCGGCCTCGAGCGCTCGCGCCGCGCGCCGCACCGGGGAGCCAACCTACGCATCCGCGCCCGCGCGGGTCCCGCGGATACGCGGTCGCACGGCTACGTTCCGCGCGGGGCATCCGCGGAAAGACGCCTCGTAGCCGCGGGGTCGCGGCCCAGGGGCCGCGACCCGCGAGGCCGCGGATACGGATGCGTATCTCGCCCCCGAAGGAGGGGGGGGGAGCAAGACGGAAACGAGACTGGAACAGGATCGGACGGAGCAAACGGGTGATCTCTGGGAGCCGGCGGCGCTGGAGGTTGTATCGGGCGTAGCGGCCGTCCCAAAGCGCTCCGCAAACGCACTGAGCACATTTGTTTCGTCCCGGTCCTCGCCCCCCCAGGAACATTCAATGCTCAGCGACGCGCGCGAAACTGACCTCGAGGTCCGAAGAAACATACGCGTGTGAGTCGCCAGTTCTGGCGCAGCAGCTGGAATTGGGGACCCGTGGGCGTTGCCACGCCGCGGGAAAAATACGCTTCGTTTACTTCGTGATGAAAGATTATCGCCCCGCCCGAGAGCGGCGAGAGGTGGAGGGAAGGGTCGAGGGTCGAGGGCCTCTAGGCGCGTGTCGTCCTCTCGGTGGGCCCTCGTGGCCCCACGCAAGCAGGCGGAGGGAGGGGGAGAAGCTTGAGGAGGGCCCTCCTCCTCCTTCCCCCTCCTCACACTCCTCCGCCTCTCCTCCTCCTCCTCCTCCTCCTGCGGTGATCCTCCACTCTCCTCCTCCCCACCTCTTCGTCTTCTCTTCTCGGGCCCAGGTGCAGTCACCCACCCTCTGCGCTTTACTATGCTACCCGCGCGATCACTTCCGCCAAGTCCCACTCCAAGGAGATAAGCTCGGCTTCAAAAGAACTCCGCGTAGTCCGCCGAAAACTTATAGCATGAAGAATCACGACCTGCTCTTCCAAAGCGTTTACTTGTTTAACAAGGGCGTTCACAAAAAAACATTGATATTTCGTCTGCTCCGTATACTTGCCGGCACACTGCTGCGTCGACGCAACATCTGATTCGCAGCATCTCATATTTTGTCGTCACGTCGTCCTGCCCAGCGAACTCCAAATCGACCCCCTCATCCAAAGCTACGTTGGCGCATGGTCTGCTATGGAATTGTACTGTCTTGGGTTCTATTCCACGAAAGACATGATGTCAAAGCGAGGTCGCCATCCATTCCGGACAAGCCAATGCAAGTGACGATTACTGCGAATACAGATCGGCCGCGCTGACGGTACTTCACAGACGGCTATCTCGGAGAAGAGCTCTTCAACCTGCTGGTTATCAGTTTGTACGCAGAGCCGCTTCCCAGAATTCCCCCGCTGCGACTCCCGAGGGTAATGTCACACGCGAGGGGATGAATTCACCGCCTCTTCTAATCGCACTGTGTTCTGGTGGTCTTGGCTGTTGCCGCCGATTCCGATGCATAAGCGTGACAACGCCCATGCTTCCGAGAGCTTCTGTGTGGACCCCTGGAGCTTCTGCAACCATTATGCGATGCTGCTGCATGCCCCTCGCCGTTCACGTCGCTATATTGCGACCCGCGCTGCGACGAATGGAGGGTCCCAGTCTGGTGGTTGCTGTCCTCGTCAGCGATGTGCAAGTCCCAACTTGCGCGTCTTCTGCTCATGCACTAGAGCACGACGTGTCTCCAATCCCGCTACCCCCCCTACTCCCACAGCTCCTGGGTCGGATTCCTCGCGCCTCCAATCTAGAAGCACGTCTCGTTCCAAATTTCCTTAAAAACCGCCTTCCGGTTTCGGACGGCCAAGGATGAAACAGCATACCTGCGGGACCCCCTTCGCAATTCTCCGCGTACCTACGCCGTCACGCACGTACGTACGTCGCAACGCACGCCGAGGCATTTTCGTTTACTAGCTCCTGAGGTCATGATACATATCAGGGGTGAGGTGCCAAGTTCCCGTACATGTGGCAACGGCGTCGGCAATGTCCCTCCATCCCCGCTTCGCGCTCCTGTTTCTCCCATCCCTCGCTCCTCCTCCTCCTCCTCACGTCTCCTTAGTATCCCTTCCCTTCTTCCCACTACCTCCTCCCTCCTCCTCCTCCTCCTCCTCCTCCTCCTCCTCCTCCTCTTCCTGCCCTCCTCCTCATCGGCTCTCCCCTCTTCTCCCCTCAACCCCGTCTTTCTCATCTACTCTTGTTTCCTCTCTTCCCATCTCTCCCCCTTCTTGACTCCTTGTCAATGGCTCCTCTCTGTCGCACCCCGATGTAGGTCGGAAGGGCGGGTTGGACGTTTCGCATGAGACCTCCTCACCATGTGTGATCCTGAAGCTTAAAAGATGAACGGCGGGTCGCTCTCGCAATGTGGCTCTCACCTTAGCGCCGTACGCATTCGTCCTACAATAATTGCACGGATTGTCACGGGTGCTGGGCACGTCGTTATCAAAATGTGGCTCTCGCCTAAACGCCACGCACATCCGTCTTACAAAACTTGAAAGAGCTTCACGGATGGAGGGCGGGCCGTTTTCAAAGTGTGTCTCCCGCCTCAACAACGCACATTCATTTACACACATTGCAAGAGCTTCACAAATGGAGGGCGGGGCCTTGTTTATATTTAAGTGGCTCTCGCCTTAGCGTCGCGCACATTCATTTTAAAAGAGTGCCAGAGCTTCACGGATGGAGGGCGGCTCCTTTTCATACTGTGGCGCTCGCCCAGGCGCCACGCACATTCGTCTTAAGCGTTTGCAGCAAGGACAAGGATTACCATGGCTAGCGTGCCAGAAATGGTGATTTGGCACGGTGTCGAATGTCAGGGCGCAGCAGTCACGTTGATTCGGAGGTGAACTCCCAAGAGTGGTGTTCTGGCACGGTTCGGTATCGCCAAGACGCAACAGCAACGGTGAGTCGCGGCGCTGACGTCACAAGAGCTGATTTATTGCACAATTCTGGAGTTTCAAACTGTTCTCTTCTAACGGGGCAGTTCCCTGAGCGAGAGTGAACCATTGCAGGGGCCTGTGAATGGGAAACTCGGAGGGTTGCAATATCGTTGATGAGTCTTGGGTTTGCGATGGTCCTCCCTCCTCCTCCTCGTCCTCGTCCTCCTCATCCTCTCCCGCTGCTGCTCCTGCTACCTTCTCCATCCTCACAGCCAGCGGCGCGGGAATGAGAGGAAGGGAGGGGAGGACGGAGAAGGAGGAGGAGAGGAAGGGGGAGGGGAAGGAGCAGGATGTAGAGAGATTCTGGGGAGCTGGAGAAGGGAGGGCCGGGGTGAGCGGAGGGTGGAAAGGGGAGCGGGAAGGTGGGGGAGGGTGGATAGGGAAGTGCGGGGCAAGAGAAGGGGTGGAATAGTGGTCGTAGTAATAATCGTCGTGTCAGTGCTCGGGCTCGTATGAATGCAGCATATACTTGTGTACAAATGGTGGTAGAACCTCCTCCATCTCATCCTTCTTGTTGTTCGACTTCTTGTAGTTATCGTCCGTCTCCTCGCCTCCACTTTCTCCTCCTCCTCCTCCTCTTCCTCCTCCTCCCCCGCCACACCTGTCCCCCTTACCTCTGTTCGCACTCCTCCCATGTGCCTCCCCTGACTGCCTCGGATTGAAGGGACTGACCAGCCGCCCAAGGCCGTTGCTGCCACGGCGGTGGTGGTATAGGATAACCCTTGTAAGGGACATACAGATCTGCCCTGGGACGGCAACGCCGCAGCGCCCGCGTGGAGCCTGCAACCACAGCCCATGCCAAGGACAAACCACACTACACACTACACCCCTGCCTAGAGATAAGGTCTTACGCTAATGAAACGGCCTTCACTCCAAACATTCTCGTAAACCTCCAACAGCAGGCAGTCCAAGTCCAGAGATACGACAGCTCTACAACAAACAGGGCTCCAAGAAACGCCCAGGGCCCAACGCAGATTCTTGATTTTTGTAAACGGAATCTGGAGTCCATGAGAGTTGGCGCGTTTTCTTGAGATGTCTGATGGGTGTACCAACACTTCGTCCCTAACCCCTCCTCCTCCCCTGAGGCAGCGGGCAGGAGTGATCCCTAACTCTTCCTCCTCCCCTGAAGCAACGGGCAAGAATGACTGGCTGCCCCGGGGTCTAAGATAGAAGCTGGGCAACCGGCCAATCTCGCACGTCACGGTGCACACCATCAGCCAACAGTCGCGCAGCCCCCGCTGAGACGAGCAACCCTCCAGCCCAGACCGCAAAGCGCGGTCGTCTCCGAGCCCTTGCGGTTTGTCCTCCGCCCCGCAGAAGCGGAGAGGCTTGAGCGTCCGCTCCGGGGTCCAAGAGAGAAGCCAATCGCGGGCGCCGCGTTCTTCCTGACGCTGTCCAAACAAGGCAAGGCACAACTCTTAGGAATCACCCGTGAACCGCCCTCTCGCGCCCTCGCGCAGCCCTGGTGCCTTCAGAACTGACGGATCAAGCAGCCGAGGCGACGTCGCATCAAAAGCCCGCCGATGGCGTCCAGGTCACATGACCAAACGCCTCGCGCTGCGCGGAGAACCACTTGCGACCCACTCCGCGCCCTCGCGCCGGCTCCATGGGCAGGGAGACTCTGGAGGCTGGGGCCCCGCGCCTCGTGGGGGACCATCATGCCGATGCCGCCCCGAGGTTTCGAGGCGAATCCATCCAGCCGTGCAACGATGGCCCCGCAGGAAACCTCGCGGGAGGGGCGTCGGTATCGGTGTCCCTCTGCTCCTGGGAGGGGACTGGAAGACGGAGGCCCCCCCCCCCCTCGGGAAGCCCGCTGCTGGCGCCGCACGCGGCACCCTTCTCGTTCGCTTCGCGCCCCGGCCGTGGGCACCCCGCTGAGCCCCACTGCTGTACTCCCCTACCGGAGGGGGCCAGGGAGACATGCATGCATCGGCACAACTTCTCAGACTTCCCATCTGCTTGCATATGCCCTGGAGTTTGTTCTTCCCCTTCCATCTCCCAAATTCCACCCAACATTACAATGCAAATCTGAGCTCATGTGTGTGTGGGTGTTGTGACATTTGCCCCCTCCTGACTTCCAGGGGTACTGAACAACTCAACAGCTCAGGCAAATTCATTTGCTCGGCATTTTGCCTCCTCCCCTCCCCCCCTCCAGCCACCTATTCTCCGGCCGTGCTGGACCGAGACTGCGCGCAAACTGTGCTTCGACTTGCGTCGTGATTCTCAGGCTTCCTGCAGCACCTCGACGACCATCGGGCCCCCTCTCCACACGAATGGACTTGCCCAAGCTAGGAAGGCACCACCTATACACCAACACCGATCCTGGTCCAGGATCGGTGTTGGTGCTTAGTTGGCGCCCTCCGACAAGCCTCTTGCTCGGAAGCAGCATCTGGAACCACATCCCAGCAGAGCTGCCACTCCCCCCAGGCCCTGGGCAGGCCTGCACCCCCCGCGGGCCCGGCGGCCCAGGCACCATCGCCTTCTGCTGGAACTCGTTGGAGCCTCCCACGTCATCTCGCATGAACTTGCGAATCAACGCTACAGTCGAGGTACTATCAGAAGGAACGCTAAATAAGGAACGAGGCCCCTTCTTGGCCCCAGAAGCGCCTAGGTGCACGAGGAGTGACGGAGGAGGAGCCATGGAAGAGCTAAAGGAACAGCGAGCCCCTTCCGCACCCGAGGCGTTCCTTATTTCAGCGTCTTGGCTGTGACCGACTCTAATCGGCGCTCATCGGCGCGAGCCGACGCTGAGTCGACGCAATCTCATCAACTGCCAGATGCCAGCGCGCGCGACTGCACCGTAGAAATGGAGCTGCGACGACATACGAGGCTCCCATCGGTTGCCACCGAAACTACGCCCCCCTCCTTGAGAAGGGTACGGCAAGTTCGGGTCGTGCCGACTTCGGCGTCGATTTCTGACATCACGGGGATCCTTCAACCTTGAACGAGCGGCCATTTCCGAAACGTCAGATCGTTCGACCTCGACCGATTCTGGGTCGCCGGCGGCGTTCAACGTGGAACGCGGGCGGCGGGGTCGCCGCCTGTCGACACGACGCGAAACTATTGTATAGAAGAAGAGAAGAGGAGTGCGGCGACGACAATGCACGCCCCGACCCTCGCCGCGCGGGCCCGACAAGCCTGCATTCGGGGACCTACTGACCTGGGTCAACCCCAGCCCGGGCCAATTGGGCTTTGCTGGGTCCTGCAGGATCCTGCACGCAAGCCCGGGTCGATGCAGCCCTGGCTCTGCAGGATCCTGCACTGCCCATCGCTCGGACGTCAATTCCCTGCGTTTTTTTCGGTTTCGTGCGTGGCTTTTTCGCCAGATGATCAAGGACGCTCCTCGATGGTCCTCGCCGAAGGAAAAGTACACACGTCCGAGCGATGCCAAAAACAAGGTCCGGCGCTCGGGCTAATCCCCGTTTGCCCTGACCCCCGTCTCGAGGCCCCCGACGAGTGAGCGGAAGAGCTTCGCCGGGATGAGGCGACGATCAGACGGAGCGGGGGTCGCGCCTCCG